AATGTTCTTTGTTGGACAGTGAAGTACTAAACTTTGAACCCCTTTCAAGACTTTGTAAACAAGTTTCACTACTCCTCCAGCCCATCCTGTCATCCTTGGGAACAATTCTACCTCCTTCCTGTCAAGCCCCTGGCCACACCCCAGGCTCCTCAAATCTATTCAGACCCAAATAGAGGACTCCGTGTTTTCCATGTGGTCTCTTGGCTCCCTCTTCTGGGGGCACTTTTTCTCTTGCCTGTCAACTCCCACCAATGCCCCTCACCCACCTCTTCATGGGAAACCTTCCCTCTGCCCAAGCAGACATGTGGCTACTTTGTTGGGCCACTCCTCTGCTGAGCGTGGGTGTGAATGTGCACCATTCAGGACTGGTTCCCTCAAGATCTGGGACTCCTCCAGGGCAGAGAAGGGGTCCTGTTCCACTTACCTCTTCAAATCTAGCACAGTCCTAAAAGCCAGCCGGACCACCCTGGACCCCATTGTTTCCTAGGGGCGGGATTTTAGCTCCAAAGCTGCGGGCAGAGCCCTGCCCCTTAACCCTTTCCATCCTGGTGCAGCAGAGGAGGCGGTCCAGATGCTTATCTTTCTACCTTCCCTACCCAGGTTGAGCAAGGTGAGGCTCCCAGGACACCTCCCTGCTCCTTTTCTGCCAGCTCTGGTGGCTCCACCTCATCGTCCCCACTCCCTACTGATGGAGAGCCCAGATGGTATTTAGCATCTCTGTGATCTTGGCCAAGCTACTTAGTTTCTGTAGTCAGTGTCCTTGTTCATCCGTGAAATGACCGAGCAACTACGGAACAGGAAAGCCCGGTACTCAATAAATCTGGCCCACTTGCTTGCATGGCCATCTAGCTCACAGCCTCCCTCTCCAGAGCCTCCTGCATGCTGGGCTGGTGTGGTACCACTGAGCTACATCCCCAGCGCAATACATTCTTGAATGAATAAGCGAAGGAACGAATACATGATACTCCCCTCAGGAGTTTTGTCCGAATTTAGTAATTCGATGCATGGAGAGACACGACGACAAACCGCGCCTAATAGATGTTTGTGAACTTCCCTACAGATCCCAGAGGGACTGAAAGGTTGGAGTTTTCCCGCTTAGACTCCAGGCCTTGGAGTGGGGGTGTGTGGAGACCCTGGAGAACACAGTTCCAGGTCCTCTTTTTTTCAAAGGGTTGGAATTTTAAGGTTTCCCCCTGCTCCCACGCCCGTGGTTCAGTGCTCCACCAGCGGTTATCAAAGGGGCAAGAATAGTTCACAGCCACGCAAGGTATTAGGATGAACATCAAGGGGTCCAGGAAAAAAGTTAGAACTAATGCGCTTGGAACCAACTAGAACTCAGCCATCCTCGGCACGCCTCTAGGCACGACGCCATTCCAAGGGAGGTCCTAGACACCAAACTGGTTTATGGATGGCATTCAGAGGCGAGCGACGAAAGAAGACGAACCGTCGGGGCCACGAAGCCAATAGTGCAGGGCCAGTTCCGTGGGAGGCTGAGGAGCACAGGCACGGAAGCTTCGGGATTTCGTTCCGAGCCGAGCCGGGGAGAGAGAGGTCTAGGCAGCCCCAACACCAACCATCCATCCAGGTTTCTGGATTCTTTCAGGTCCGGGCACCCTCTTTGGGCTGCGAGGACCCTTGAACCCGAAAGTGAAGTAGAGAGAAGATGGGCACAGAGCCAGGGTTGGGGTGCATGATACAGACGAGACAGTCTCGGGTCTCCCCCCCCCCCTCACTCACTCTCCCCGTTCTTTACAGTCCTTGTAGCTCCCGGCTCATGAACCCCACTTTGGAGCAGTGAATGTGAGGATGGGGTTCCAGGGAAGGTTTAGTCAACTATTCCCGAGCACTCGGGGATCCCAGCTCGAGCTGGGGAGCCCTACCTGAGGTCTGCGAAGCCATCCTCGCGGGCTCCCCAACGCCTAAATTGCAGCGCGTATCTTCTGTCCAGGTGAGGCCCCAGGAGCCTTGGGACAGATGCCTCGACGCCCTTTCCTCCCCCCACACGCTCCCCCCCCCCCCCGGGAGACTGCGCAGCCGCCGCTTGGGCTCCAAAGCCCATCGATTTTTCTGTTGACTTTGGGAATCTCATTAATCTCTCGTTAATTACTCCGCCGGGGGCTCGGGCACAAGACGGGCAGCCAATGGAGAGGCGACTGCGCGGGAGGGCGTGGCAGGAGGCGGGGCGGACGTCGGGGGCAGGGTCTGAGTGGGGGCAGCTCCCAAGGTGTTTTGGGGTGCTTTGTTCTCAGCCTCGCACCAAGAACTTGCTGGCTTCACGATGTTCTTGCCTGTGGTGTCTGAGCTACGAATGGGACCCTCTTCTTTCCGGGTCTAGGTCGCCTCTTTTCCACACCCTACCTAGCTGACCTAGCTCTAAAGCAGCCTCCTGGGATGATCTTTCTGCGTTACATCAAACCTGAAGTTGGGGTAGAAGAGACCCAAGGCTGAAGATGGGATTAGAAGGCAGGAGGGGAGGCAGTCTTTAGGGTCTTCTCTGGTCCTCTTCTTTTCCTCTCCCTCCCCTCGCCGCCGTCTCACTGCCCCATCACCCCCCACCCTCAGCCTCAAAGACCTGTGGACCTCACGGTGATGACAGCCAGGTATTTCTCCTCTGATGTCTCCAGTGCTCTGAGTGTCACTGTTCTCTTCCTCCAAATGCCACCACTCCCAGCCTAATCCAGGTATGGCTCTCCCTTCCTGCTGGCTGTGACATCTCCATTTCAATCTCGAACTCTCTCACACACACACAAAACTAAAGACTGATGCTGGCGAGGTAGCTCAGTGGGTAACGGCTCAGGGGGATCTGGGTTCCAAACCTAGGACCTATAAGGTGGAGGGAGAGAACTGACTCTGCAACTTGTCCTCTGACCTCCACGGATACGCACCGCAGCAGGTGACCACCCACACACATGCACACGCGCAGAGAAATTAAAATGTAATAAAACATGAAAACAAATAAGCCCAGTGATACACACTTGTAATCACAGTACTTGGGTGGGGAAGTAGGACCATCTGGAGTTAAAGGTCATCCTTTAACAGAGGGAGTTAGAGGCCAGCTGGACTCCACGAGACCCTATCTCAAAAAAACAAATAAACCAAACAAAACAAAAAAACCCAACGTAACATGATACAAAACCAGCTTTGTCCCTCTAGCTTTCCTGCCTCCGCCTCTGTACACAGCTGGAGCAGAGCGGCAGTCTTGTGGCTTTGGAGAGGTTCCTAAAGACCCCAAGCAACTGTACTTACTCTGGGGGTAAAGACTCCCCCAGCTTCTCTTAAGCTGGAACCCCCTCTTATGTCTATACTAAGAACTCACGCTCCCGGTGTTCCTGAGATGTTTGAAGGAGAAATGTCTGTCGCTTGGGGTTAATGGGTTCAGATGCGTGGGAGCATTGCCTCCTGTAGATCCATAGCATAGGAGAGTAACAATGACTGGCAACGATTCATTGCATATTTCACAACAGCAACTAAGGGGACTTTGAATGCTCCCAACACATGCGCTCCACGTTCTCGGTCTGAGGCAACCAATATGCTAGTACGTGGACTGGATCCTGGCACATTGTACTCTGAAATGTACACAATAACTATGTATCAATTAAAAACAATGTCAGTAGCCAAGCTGTGGTGGTGCATGCCTTTAATTCCAGCACTTGGGAGGCAGAGGGAGGTGGATCTCTGTGAGTTCCAGGCCAGCTCAGTCTACAAGAGCTAGTTCCAGGACAGCCAGGACTGTCTCAAACTCTTCCATTACAGTAAGTAAGAAGCAAAAGTTTCCAGCCTGAAAAAGAACAGGACCCCACTCCCACTCTCAAGAAGGACTGGAGGGCTGGAGAGATGGCTCAGCGGTTAAGAGCATTGGCTGCTCTTCCAGAAGACCCACACGCTGGCTCACAACTGTTTGTAGCTCAAGTCCCACAGGATCTGGTAGCACCCAGGCAGGCAAAAACAATGCTGGCTCATGGCTTAAAGCACTGTGCAGAACCCCAGAATTCACAGAAATGGTAAATGCCCCATGGGTGTGGTGGCTTGTTTGCCTTAGAAAGCAGAGCTGGAATCCCCAGGGTTAGTGGGCTACCAAGATTAGCCACAGGAAGTAACTCTGAATCTGACTGAGGGACCCTTCCTCAAAGAATAATATGAAAGTGAAAAGGTGGGTGATTCCTGACACCAACCTCAGGCCTGTTCGTGTCCTCACACACGTGTATACACACACACACACACTCACTCATACACACACTCACACATACACCCTCACACACCTGTACATATACACCTTCACACATGCATGTATACACATATATATCCTCGCACACATGCCCTCACACATGTGTTCACATACCCCCACATGTGTACACACACACCCTCACACACATGTACACACATGGGGTTGGAAGAGTGCAATGTAGAGAGCTCCCTGAGGTTGACCTCTGGCCTCTACACTCACCCACACATGTGTACAGTACACATACACACATACACACAGTCGACAGATTGCTGTTGCCGATGGAAAGGCTCTGGGTCTCTGTATCCGTGAGCCTCAGTTTCCTTTTTGTAAAGCAAGGGCATTAGATGAAATCAGTCCTCACTAACTTCCCCTGTAGCATCAGAAAGGTGACTGCATCCATGGGTACTTCCCTGCCCCTCCCAGGCATCTGTCATCCACTGCTCAGAAAGTCTACAGCTTGGACTCAGCTCAGCTCACCCACGGAAAAGGCGGATTTCTGAAAACCTTGAACCTTTCCAGCTCTGACCTCCAGGTTCCTCTCCAGCGATCACCTCAGGCAAGGCAGCTGAGACAAGAATTGGGGACGAAAGTGCAGGTGCAGGTTTATTGGTTCCCAGCTCCAGACAGTGCACAGGGCACACAGCTGGGATTAGAGAGAGAGCCAGAGACAGTATTTCCAGATCCTGTCTGGTCCTAGGCAATGCTGCAGGGAATTATTTCCCTGCCTCAGTTTCCCCGGGCTCCAGGGTCATGCAGGAGTAGATGGGAGGGCATGTCTCATTTTTGATTTAAAAATTCATCCTGGAAAAATAAACTTTGGTGAAAAGTCTAGTCTTGGGCAGGCAGGGAGAGAGCGCCAGCCCTCTTCAGCCCCAGAGGTGCTGGGCCTCCTCTGCCGGATCTCGGTGTGGAGCCGTCAGGACAGCACGTAGACCTCCAGCAGGCTGGAGACAGCATGCATTCGGTAGAAGATGCCAAAAGGCAGGCAGATGTTGACGATGGCCGCCCAGAGGGAGTGACCATAAAAGTCCACCTCCACGGTATTGCTGAAGTGCGGGCGGGCACCGAAGGCAGGCATGATCCACAGCTGTCGGGGGAGAGGGGCGCATCAGGAGCCTGCTGTGACGTCTCTGGGCTTTGTTGAGCACAGAAGGTTGGGATCCCAGCCTTCTAGCTTGGTGGCCCATCAGGGACTGTCACCCAAGGCTGACCTCCAGCATTGAGGACAGGGCCTGGATGAGGAGCTGAGGAAGTGTGTCTAACTAGACGGCCCCACTCTTAGCTGAGGACCCGCTTGAAGTCACTCCTCCCACCCTAGGCCTTCCTATGCAATGGACGTTTCAATAGGTGATGTAAGCCACTGATAGAACCAGCCAAAGGGGCAGCGGGAGGAGTGTGCCCGAGGACTGGTGGTAGAATCAATTAAGTCTAAGGTGATGGGGTGTGGGGAGGTTTCAAAACCCAGCCAGGAGGCCACCGCACTCCAACCCTCCACGACCGCTACTCCTGTTTCACACCTCCTCCTTGTCCCTTCCCTGTGTGGGAGAAACCAAAGGCTAGAGTCCTGCTTCGCCTCCAGACAGGAGCTCAGATCTTCCTTGTGGGTGTGGGATATGGAACAAAGGAACAAGTCTCCAAGGCTAGCCTAACCCTTATGCCAATTACTCCATCCTTGGGGGACATCACAGTCTCTCCCGAGTCTGGTTCTGTTCTAGAAAATGAGAGATGGGAGGAGGCTGCCAAGAGTGATTAGGATGCTGGGCAGTGGTGGCACACGCCTTTAATCCCAGCATTCGGGAGACAGAGGCAAGGCAGATCTCTGAGTTCGAGGCCAGCCTGGTCTACAGAGTGAGTTCCAAGATAGGCAGGACTGTTACACAGAGAAGCCCTGTTTCAGAAAAAAAAAAAAAATTAAAAAGAAAAATAATGAAAAAAAAAGAAAAAGAAAAGAGTGGTTTGGACTCAGATACTTGAAGCAAGAACAGCCTCTTGAAAGGTAGCTCTCAGCCTCAAGGCCAGGCTGAGGGTGGGGGTGGGACAGAGGCAGATGTGCGGTCAGAGCTTGAAGACTGAGTTTTTTTTTTTTCCTTTAAAGCAAAATTGACTGTTGGAAGTCTGCATGGGGGCTCACAGTCCCAGCCTCAGGATCTGTCTGCATTAGGGTGTTTCTATGTTAGCAATCCTCTGTTGGAGGACATTGTCAAAACGGCTGTTTTTGGACTGAGTCAGATTTCATTAGAGATTTTTTTTTGGCTTGAGATACACAGTTGTCATTTTGTGTAAGTGGGGGACTGGTTAAAGAACTGGCCCTGGAAGCAATAGTTTATGGAACCAGCACACAAGCATGCTCAAGTCCCTTACATAAAATAACTTACATACATCCTGTTGTATACTTCAAATTACTGTGTTCACTATATATATAAATACATATATACATATATATATATACTATGGAAATAGTTTGTACTATGTTTTGTTTTGGGGCATAATGACAAGGAAAAATACATTCAATATGATCAGAATTTTTTTCACTAATATTTTCCTTCCAAGAGTTGCCCAAATCCTGGGCCATGGGACCTGCAGACCCAGAGGCTGGCTGTCCCCATAGAAGCATGTTTCTGTATCAGCTTTTTCCGTGTCGGGGACCGTGTCTACACTGGGGCATGACTATGCTGGGTGCAGCTATGCTAGGAACGTTTCTCTTTGGGGGCACCATCTTACTATGAGGGTTTCTGCTTTGGGGTATTTCCTTCCAGAGAACATACTTATAATAGAAGTCTCTCACTCTTTATAGATGGCTTTGCCAAGTCACCTGGGAGGGAGGGGGCAGCTGTTGTACACACCCCTCTTCCCAGCCGGCCCTCTGCGCCATCCTGCCAACAGACTGCTCACACTTACGCTCTCTGCGACTTCCTGAGGCTGCTCCAATTATTCTGAGAAGCAAGCAGGTCACAAGATCCTGGGAGCAGTCACACCTCCCACCTGGGGGTGAGGGCCTTAGCCCTTACCCCCCCCCCCCCCCCCCCCCCCCCCCCCCCCCGCGCTCTCTCTCGGTTCCCTCTCACTTCCACCCAGCCCCCATGCCAGCCTTCCTGGGACCCCTCCCTCAGGTGCCTACATGACAGAGGGCTGGGACTGCATGCTCCCTGTTTGCCCTGAAATGTTATTTGCCTAAAGGCTGCAGCGGTTCCTCTGTGAACCTGCTTCTGCATAAAATTCTAGAATGAGCCTTTGGCAAGACAGAGAAGGTTAAGTGATCAGCAGTCCTACCCCAGTCTAGGGGCACCCCACCCCACTCGCCCTCACCTCCCTCAACTACTCACAATGACATTGCAGAGCAGGAGAAACAGAGAGATGTCTTTGAGGCACCGCCGTCGCCAGTGGCACCTGGGAGCTGAGATGATAGCCATTGCTTCCTGAGGACTTTCTGGGCTGGGGCTGACCAGCCTGGGCGTGGGCGGGCAGGAGGGCAAGGTGTGAATGGCATCCAGGTTGGCAAAGGTGATGCCTTGGCAGGACTCCTTGGGGGGCATTTCGCAAGGCTCGGCCCCAGGCGGTCCCCGATGGAGGCTCTCAATGATGAACACATTCTGAAAGGTGTGCTGAGCAATCATAAGCAGAGCGTGTGACAGACTGAGCGCCCCCAGCAGGTCCCGGGGTGAGCCCACTACCACAGCCACAATGGAATAGTACGAGATGGCATACTGGCCCATCGCGGCGCCCATTAGCAGGGCTACATCCAGGGTGCGTGTCGGGTTCTTATGGTGGTCCATGGCCCGGCGATCAAAGCGATAGATGACTGAGCCACTCAGGCTGACCAAAGTCATGAGCCCCAGACAGGCGATATTGAAGCTGTAGTAAGTGACCAGGGCCTGCTGGGTATGGTCTCTCTCGCCGCTCACCTGGACCTCATAGAGGATGAAGACGGCCAGGCCCACAACGAAGAGTAGCAGGCCCAAGATTGGACCCGCAAAAAAGGTCTCCCGGAAGAGGCTGACCCTGGACGGCGTGTGGCCGTGACCGTGGGTGGAGCCAATCAGCCTTCCCACGTTCTTCCACATGACGTACAGCATGGTGGAAGCAAAGAGGCTGTACTCGATGTTGAAGGGGTACAGGTAGAAGTAGCCTTGCTGGAAGATCTGGCAGATGGCCGTGCTGCAGGGGCACGGGTCTCCTCCGGCTGTGCTGCCTGCACGTTCTGCTGTGGCGAGAAGGGCACAGGGCTGGGCTCTACCCTCCTCTTCCAGTCTGTGACAAGTGAGGGCATGGGTTCCCTCTGCCAGTTACCACTGCAGCCCAAAGGACTCCGCAGGGTCTGGCTTCTTCATTCATTCCGTAATTATTTATTGTGCCCGATGCTACAAGACAAATCAGTGCTAAAAATAAAACAATAAAAATCTGGGGCTTGGGCTGGAGAGATGGCTCAGTGGTTAAGAGCATTGCCTGCTCTCCCAGAGGACCTGGGTTCGATTCCCAGCACCCAATATTGTCCGTAACTCCAAAATCTGACACCCTCACAGACATTCATGCAAGCAAAACATCATTGCAAATAAAAATCAATAAATTTTAAAAGTCTGGGGCCTGGAGAAGTCTCAGTTTATAAAGTACGAGGAATGCGGGCATAAGAACCTGAGTTTGACTCCACGGTACCCATGTAAAAGGTGTGGCATGGTGGTACATACGTGCCCAAAATCCTTGTGCTTGGTTGGCAGAGGCAGGGTGTCCCTGAGACTTGTTGGTCAGTCAGTTTAGCTGAAGCTGAGGTCCAGATTTAGTGAGATAACTTGCCTCAAAAAGTGAGGCGGAGGACCAGGCTGATGGCTCAGCAGGTAAGAAGGTGCTTGCTACCAATTACTACCAAGCCTGTGGACCTAAGTAATTCCCAGGACCCACATGGTGGAATGAGAGGCCCAACTTCTGAAAGCTGCTTTATGACTTCTGTACACACATGTGCACACATACACACATGCATGCACACACACACACAGATTCTATAAATATATAAATACCTGTAAAAAAATTAAAAGAAAAGAAAGAACTGAGGAGCCACTTAACATTGTCCTCTGGCTTGCACACACACACATACACACACTCAAACACAAAAAGAAAATGGGGACTGCAAGTCTGTGCACCTCCATTTCTCCAGTCCCTCCTGATTCGCGGGGATCCCTTGTTCCCTGAGTTAGGCAGGCTCTGGATCTCATAAAAGAAAGTGCTTTCCCCCAGGCCAGCCCCCCACAGCTCTCCCTGCACCTGACAGCTCAGAGCTCCAGCTGCTGTGTCCAGACCCCCACCACGATTCCCATCACTGCAGTTTGCGCCACACCGAGAGGGTTTAGAATGGGCTGTCTAGGTTGCCTGGGGCCTCGGCAAATGGCTCTACCCCAGCTGGATCTGTGGATGAAGAAGCTGAGGCCCAGTGAGGTCTGAGCATTGTAATGGGCGAGCCAAGGAAACTCCCAACACTGCAGCCTCTCCTACGGTGACCTCCTCTCTGGGGCTGTGGTCTCCACCATCGAGATTCCCTGTGTACACCAGGTGGTTCTTACCAGTCCTTCTACACTGGGGTCTCTTTGCAGGCCAGGGCTGTGCTTCCGATTTCTGAAGCCTCCCTTGTGCCAGTAGGGGTTGTGGGTATATGTGGGAGTCTTAGCTACCTAGTTTGGTCCTGGATAGAGGAGAAGCCCAGAGATCTAGAACGGGTGGACTGTGAGGGATGTTCTTTTTCAGGGTAACTCACTGGCTAAAAGCAAAGGTGCATTTGAACACTTCCATTTTAGGCTCTGTGACCTTGGGCAACTCTTTACCTACCTTGCTGAGTTTCTGCTTCTATAAGATGGGAACATTAATCATATTTATCTCCAAAAGGAAGTTGTTAGAACACTTGAGGCATTTTGCACCAAGCAAAGCCGCCATATGTTTAGGTGATGTCATCATGAGGTCATCACCCCATGGGGTGGGGGTTGCCTTTCTTTCCTCCCCAGGCTGGAAGGCTGAACCACACGGTCTCCCTTCCCTTTCTGTAACGTCATGAGTCTCGCCCTCCCTGCTGGAACCTTGGGCTCCTTCTTGGTGGGACGGAGACCTGGAGAGTATGGCCAGGACCCTCAAGGGTGAGGAAACACGTCATATACTCTTGTTCCTTGTTGCCTCCACCCACACACAGGGAGCGTCTGGAGCAGGAGGAGGCTCCGGCTTCTACCTTTACCACCATGCCCTGGCAGACGTGGTTGACTGACTGTGAATACCCCAAGCACCCATCCAGTGCCTGGCAGCCGCAGGACCAGTGCTTACAGGAAACTTACGGTCAGGGGTGAGGCGGGAGTGGCTGCTGTTGCCGTAAGAGCCGCTGTAGGAGTGGGCCTGGTGCACAGACTCATCCACGACGGCTGCCATCCAGATGGCTAGGTTGGTGGTGAGGGTGAACATGAGCCCACACCTGTTTCAGAGTGATGGACAAGGAGAATAAAAGGCTCATGAGTCTTGGACTCACTATGGGTCCCTGGCAAAGCAAGGCAGGGTCAGGAGCCCTCCTTAGAGAGAGATGGAGTTATGAAATGAGACGGGCAGATGGACGGACCCCGTGAACATGGGAATTGGACTTGGAAGCCAGACTCGGCCTGGTGGGATCCCAGATAAGAGAGGGCCAGCGGGTGTCTGAGGCTCAGGCCCCACTAGGGGAAAGGGCACAGTTTAGGCAGTGGAAAATAAGCACAAAGAGGAAGGGGTGGCTGACACCCCACCCAAAACTGAGAGGGAAGAGCCGCACCCAGGACGACAGGCTTCCTCTCTCATGCCAGGTGAGCCCTTGGCCCACAGACATTGAGCTGTGGTTCTTACCGGGTCAGGTCCAGGTGGGTGTGGATGCAGTCTTTAGCAGAGACCCAGAGGAAGTAAGTCTACAGAGAGAGAGAGAGGGGGGCCAGGCTCAATCCCATGTACACGGGCTGATCTCCGGAGCCCAGTGCCCACCCACACCTAATATAACATTTCCTCTATCCCAAGAACCCTTAGACTAATCGAGTTTATTTTAGTGTTACAAAAGGAGAAGGAATAATTTCTCTTTCTACTCTATACTTCAGCTTGTTTTTTTTTTTTTAAAAAAAAAATAGTGGCTTTCTGTTCCTTAAAGCTTGGGGAAATACCAGACATTTTCATCTTGATGAGATTTGAGAGGGGAGCCAGGGTGATAGAGAAGCAAGTGGAGTTTTGGCTACCAAGTGATGTTTTTCTGGAAGCAAGGTCAGGCTCAGACTAGATCTTGCTCAAGGTCTCAAGGTAGAAAAGGTCTCTGGGGTTTTATTGTTGTTATTGAGACAGGTTCTCTGTGCAGCTCTGGTTGACCTTGAACTCCATATGTAGAGTAAGCGGGTCTCAGACTCACAGTTATCTGTCTGCCCCGGCTTCCCAAGGGCTAGTCTTGAGCTCATTATACATCAAGAAGTGACTTTGAACTCCTGACTGCCCTGTTGACACCTCTGGCCTCTTGGTTCACATCCCCTGCTGCCTTCTTCCTTCGTGGATTTGAAAGGCCTTGCCCTCATCTGAATGCCACTGAATCCCTGCCATGGGACTTACCTACACGGAGGTGTTTGTGTTTTCATTTTTCCTGAGCATTCTTCAAACTTATGAAATGTAAAAGACTAAAGCTACAGTAAGTGTCTCAGCCACATGTGTGCAGCACTATGGACATCTGGGTGGTAGGGGGATGCTTCAAGGCGTGGCACTATCCCCTTGGTCATCTTGCTAATGCTTCAAAGTCCGATGCAAGAGCACTCCTGCCTCAACTCAGTCAGCTCTTTCAAAAGGATCTTTATGCAACACACTAAAACAAAAAAGCTAGCGAGCCAGGTGTGGCACACTCCTGAAATTCCCGGACTCGGGAGGTGGACGCTGGAGTTCAAGGCTGGTCTGGGCTGTCTGTGTGAGTTGAGTCACAAGAGGACAAAGAAAAGAAAGTGATTGGAACTTGTCTGAAAAATCGTCGTTACGGGATGTCCTGCCTCCTAAACAAACATCAGGTGTGGAGCTATGACCAAGATCAAACAAGCCGTAGCCATGGTCATGGTCACAGCACAACCCTAGGCAGAGTCTGATGTCCTCCGTGGACACCCCAAGGTTCTACCAGACAGGGATGGCTGTCACAACTCACACCTCCTGGGTGTTAATTACTGGCACCACTTAGGTTGAAATAAAGTTGCAGCACCCCTAAGTAGAAACTCACATTTAGACACACTTCATGAGTCAGTGTTTCCTCGTTTATGGACTCATATGATCCCTACCACAGTCTGACTCGGTTTACCAAATTGCTCAGGGCTAAGGGGGTGGTATGTGTGAAGCTCAGATCTCCTGAGCTCCTGCCAAGCACCAGGCTCTTCCCCTTATGGGGACATTCCTTCAACCCACCTGGACAATGACAAACACAGCTTGGATGATGGGGTGCAGGATCTTGATGGCCGACTGGCACTCTAAGAAACTGGAGTAGTAACCAGTCTTGAAGACATCCATGACGAGGGTGCAAATCCCAAACAGCACGAGCCCACCTGAGAAGCAGGGTCAGCAGGGGAGGAGTGGATCAGGGAGGCAGGAGAGAGGGCTTGTAGGGTGGAGGATAGGTTCTGAAGGTGAGGGGCTAGTGGGGGTGTGTGTGCAGGGAATAGGTGGACAATTGGGTGGGAGAATGGACGAGTGGAGAGGTTGGGAGGATGATGAGTGGGTGGATGGATGGACAAATGGATGGACTGAGAGGTTACTGGGTGGATGGATGAGGGCAGGAGCAGGCAGATGGATGGAGGAACGAAGGGAGGGCGTGAGGGACAGAGGAATAGAGGATGGATAGGAATATGGGCAAACTGGACTGGGAGATGAAGAGGGGGTGGGAGATGAGTGCACAATTGAGGGGGAAGAGGGAGGAAGGACATCCTGTGTCCCCTCAATTGCACAGACAAGGGGAAAGCTGGGGACAGACCTTGTCAGCTGCTATTGTCTTTTACTTTTTTTTTTTGGTCTGCATATAAAGGCTACGCATGACCATCCCTGTCCAATCTTTAGACAAGCCAAAGAAGCTTCCTCCACCTCTGGATATCCTCTAGGACCGGTTTCCCTCTCTCTACCCCCTCACTGCATCCAACCCCAATAAGCTTTCAGCCACATCACTCTTCCCAGGGAACTTTAAGCAAACCTGTCTACCCAAAGTCACACCCTGAGGTCCTCCAGGAGCCCCACAGACTGCAACTTCCCACCGTGCCCATTCCAGTCTTGTCCTCATATCCCAGGGCACCTCGGAGCCAGATGGGGCCGGCGTGTGCATCCCGGTAGGGTACCGCATCCGGACAGCGCGCAGTGCGGAGGAGGTAGAAGACGATCCACAGCGCGGCCAGCAGCATCATGGTGGTGAGCAGCGCGAACACGTCGGTGTCATACACGGCCACCTTGTTGAAGGCACCACCGCTGATGAGCGTGGAGGCGAGCAGCAGAACGTTGACAGCCAACAGCACGGACAGCAGGCGACCGCCCTTTTTCCACACCTCGCGGGGGCTGGCCCGTGGCCCCGGCAGGCTCTCCTTGGGGTGCTGGGCCAGTTCCTCCGACATGGTGGGGGCGACTGGAGGAGGTTGAAGGGATCACTGCGGGGTCGAGGGGGAGGGGAAGGACGGGATTCCAGGTCAACCCAGGAGGCTCTCCTTTCCTCCTGGAATGGATTTGGGGACCCTGGAATGTGGGGACTAAGGGTGCTAAACCGAGCCCTGGGGAAGAAGAAGAGAAAAACTGAACCTCTCCCACCTGGACCGGAAATATTGTACTGAAAGAAGCAAGGGCACTAGGCCGGGTCCCGCACAAGATTCTCCTCCCCAAATCCTACAGTCCCCTGGCCAGGGGCACGCACCTGACTGCACTGGTAGCCGACAGCAAGTTGGGGGTCAAGGGGCAGCGAGCGTCTCCTCTCTCCCACGCCGGGCTGGACCAGTGCTTTATACCGGAGAGGGCAGAGTGATTTACAGCCACAAGAGCCCGGTTCCATAAACCTCTCAGTCCCACTCACATGATCCATCTTTTCTCCGAGCTGAATTTAGGGAAGTCAGATAAGGTGAGATTTATATTTACCTGTTAAGATCTCCTCACCCTGTCGCGCTGGCGCTGCCAGGGTTCAGGAGTGGCCCCATTATGCGGTACCTAGAGGGTCCTCTGCCCCCAACACCCACTGCAACCTGGTACTAAGAGATCGCACCCACCCAAAGCCTGCAGAGCGGACTCTCATCCCAGTGCCCGCCTGCACCTAGATGCCGTCGCAGCTCAGGAGTCACCTATATCTTGGATCTTGCTTGCTGTCCCTGGATCAGGACAACAGTTCTCCCTTTCCCCACCTGCCCTCAGAGTGATCCAAGTTCGGTCTTCCTGTATCCCTTACTACTGCTGCCCAGAGATGCTTGTTGGATGCTGCAAAGTCTGGTTCCCACGGGGGTCCCCGCAGCCGGCTTGTAATCGTTTAGCTCCCCCTGCTGGAGAGCCGTTGTCCGACCCCGCGCGAGTAGGCTAACTCTGGAGGCACTGCTGCGCCCTGCTCCCGGATTGTCTTGCAGTGAGTGGGTCCTCCTGCTCCTCTAGGCCCTCTGTCCTCCGGATCAGGACTGCCTTTCCATCCCACCCTCAGACACCATTCTCCAGTCCTTGGCGCGTTCCTTTTGACGGGTGAAGAAATCAGGGAGTCCAGCGCCCGGAGCTTTGTCGAGGACATCCTAAATTGTCCTCAATACTGAGCCTCAAGAGGCGCAACGCCAGAGTAGAAGCTTTTGACGCGAGAGAGCTGGACTTCGATTGAATCACCTCTGTGTGCTGAAAAGCAGGGCGTTTAGGACCCAGGGGAAGCTCCTGGGCGGCTCTTGGGCAGTGAGAGATTTCCCCCCTCCCTCTCCTGGTGAGCGGCTCAGATGTCCCGGTAGTCTGTAGTCTTCTGTAGTCGTGGCTCTGGCGCCCCGCATCCTCCATCTGCGCCAGCAGGGGCTGGTGGCACAGGCTCCTGCCCAGCCCCTTCCCTCAAACCCATGTTTCAGTCCTAACCTGGCTGCCCTCCCCGTCGGGGGGACATTTCTTGGTGCCCCTTGCACGACCCGTCCAACTCGGGCGCCATGAATGACCAGTATCACCGGGCCGCCAGGGATGGCTACTTGGAGCTCCTCAAGGAGGCCACCCGGAAGGAGCTGAATGCCCCTGACGAGGATGGCATGACCCCCACCCTCTGGGCTGCCTATCATGGCAACCTAGAGTCTCTGCGTCTCATTGTGAGCCGAGGGTGAGTATACTCTGCCCAGCCAGCAGGGAACCGTAAGAACCCCGTATCCCAAACCTCATGGCATTTCTTACCCTCTTCCCTGAGGTGCCCTCTTCCCGTGTGGATAGCCCCTAAGGTGAGACCGTGCAGCCTGCCATACTTTGAGAGACACACGTGGAAAGGACATCAGCCGAGGCTGATGGCACTTGTGAACTGTGTGTAGGGCTTAGAGGAGAGGAACTGCGATGTGTGTGTGTGTGGGGGGGGGGGAGCTGCAGAGTGATTCAAAACTTAAAGACAATTCTGTGTTGGGGGCACCTGGATGCAAGAATTAAGGGAAGGGGGGGATCAGAGAGAAGGCTGAGAAGTCTCCAAGGCCCTAGAAGTGGGAGCCAGAAAGGAGAGACCTTCATGCCTACTATCCAACCTAGGAGTCAAAAGGCTGTCCCCACAGTACCAGATGCTCCCACAGGACGAGTCTCACACTGACCTGTGCCTTCTCGCCACTCCTCTCCTGAGATTTATGGGCACTGTCCACACTACCAAATGTCACCGGTTCAGCCGTAATTAACGCTCTGTACCCCTCCCCCACAGCAGGACAGCGAAGTGGGAAGCCATATATGCAGGGAGGGCGGCTGTCCCTCTCCTCCCTCTGGAGCTGTCCTGGGAGGGAAGGGTCAGCACAGAGAACCTGGAGGGGTCAGGCAATGTAGGATCCAGGGTCACTGAAGTGAGTCGGGGGAAGGGCATTAAATCACATTACTGGAACTATCCTTACATCAACAGTTTGGTAGGGCTGGCCTTGATACTGTTATGATCTGGGCAGGAGAAGGATGCCCTCAGAGTGTTCAAGTCAATGTCTCAGGTTCTAGGGGTTAAGGGCAGGGGCAGGGATTGTGTTGACCCTGGTACTTGGAGTGCCTGGATATGTGGGGAAAGATTTCAGTCTCCCTCCGGCAGCCCCTTGGGTCTAGCAGCAGGTGGAGACAGCCTGGGATCAGACAGGCAGCTTAGGCAGTGAAAGGCCAAGACTCTCCAGGAGGGCACACAGAGGTACTATTCCCTCTGCACATCCGTCAGAGAGACTCATGGGAGTCTCACACAGGGGTCTGAAGGGAAAGAGGGCTTGCCATAGGCTCTCCAAAGCCCTCGAGTTCTACCGAAGCAAGGATTTGTGCTTGATGAGGGAGGGTCTGTTGCCGAGCAACGCTTCCCCACAGTATCCTACAGGACTTGGCAAGCAGAGGGGGAAGCTGAAGTGGGGATGGGAGCAGGGCGGGGTAGGGGTGGGGGTGGGGGAGACTGGGAGGTGTTGAGACAAGGGAGTGATTCTTTCCCCAGCTCTGGGCTGGCCTTGTGGCCTCATTAGTGTTGGGCAGGACCCGGTGCTCAGACTAGAGAGAGAGTCAAGATTCCTAGAGAAGGCAGCAGGAGCTGGACTGTGGGCCGGAGTCAGACCCGGAGGGCATTAGCGAGGGCTTCTGGAGGGGGCCAGGCCACCGGCTACAAAGGGCAACTTGAACAAGAGAGAGCAGCACAGCCAGGTTGCCGGCCCTCTTCCTCTCCAGTCCTGGCTGTCCCCACAGTCCCCTTCTGGCCCAGGCCAAGACCCGACACCTGCTCTAACACTGGCGTTGCCAGGCCTGGCCCCGCTCCCTGCAGACATGGCGGTGCCCACTGCATGCCAGCGGGCACCCTCTCATGCTCTTCCAAGTTTAAGCCCGGCACACACCACCCTCTAGTTCTCTTATTCAGTCACCCTGTAACATGTGGCTTCACAAACCACCTCACCCGCTTAGAGACCCAGACTCAGCCCTTACCCACCACCTCTCTGGACCCGCTCCCCGCAGGGTCCATGAATAATTCACTCCTTTCTTTCAGCGCATCAAATATTTATCCCCTGAGATTCCCAGCCCTCTGTTCTCTAGGGGAAGGCCCGCCCTACCCCGCCTCCTATGTAGCCCCGCCCCTTTGTGGGTTGGGCCATTCCCCCATACTCCTGCTTTGTGCTCAGTCCGGAAACATCTGTTGGCTCATCTCCTGGGAGTCTAGGTCTCAGCCACATGCGTTTCTTTAGGGCAGTGGTTCTCAATCTTCCTAACGCTGCGACCCTTTAATACAGTTCTTCATATTCTGGTGACACCCCACCCATCATAAACTTCGTTGCTACCTCATAACTGTAATTTTGCTACTGTTATGAATTATAATGTAAATATTTGACATGCAGGATATCTGATATGTGACTCTGTTGGGATCGCGACCACAGATTGGGAACCACCGCTTTAGGGGGTGCTGTGCTGCAGGAAGCTCACCAATGTCTTTGGGCTTTCCTTTCTTTTTCTGATTTCCCCCAACCCAGATTCCTTATACCTCCAACCCAGCCCACAGGCTGGCTTGCTAAAAGGACTCGTCCTTTCTTTCCCCTACAGGGGTGACCCGGATAAGTGTGACATCTGGGGAAACACACCCTTGCATCTGGCAGCTTCTAATGGCCACCTGCACTGCCTGTCCTTCCTCGTATCCTTCGGGGCCAACATCTGGTGCCTGGACAATGACTACCACACGCCATTGGACATGGCCGCTATGAAAGGCCACATGGAGAGCGTGCGCTATCTGGACTCGATCGCAGCCAAGCAGAGCAGCCTCAACCCCAAGCTGGTGGGCAAGCTGAAGGACAAGGCCTTTCGCGAGGCGGAGCGGCGTATCCGCGAGTGCGCCAAGATGCAGCGCAAACACCATGAGCGCATGGAGCGGCGCTACCGGCGAGAGCTGGCCGAACGCTCCGACACGCTCAGCTTCTCCAGCCTCACGTCCAGCACCCTGAGCCGCCGGCTGCAGCACCTGACGCTGGGCAGCCAGCTGCCCTACTCGCAGGCCACGCTGCATGGCACGGCCAAGGGCAAGGCCAAGATCCAGAAGAAGCTGGAGAGGCGCAAGCAGGGGGGCGAGGGCACCTTCAAGGTCTCCGAGGACGGGCGCAAAAGCGTCCGATCGCTCTCGGGCCTGCAGCTGGGCAGCGATGTGATGTTTGTGCGCCAGGGCACTTACGCCAACCCCAAAGAGTGGGGCCGTGCCCCACTCAGGGACATGTTCCTCTCGGATGAGGACAGCGTCTCCCGTGCCACACTGGCTGCCGAGCCTGCGCACTCGGAGGTCAGCACCGATTCAGGCCACGATTCCTTGTTTACTCGCCCCGGCTTGGGTACCATGGTATTTCGAAGGAACTATTTGAGCAGCGGGCTGCACGGGCTGGGCCGCGAGGACGGTGGCTTGGATGGGACAGGGACGCGGGGTCGGCTGCAGAGTTCCCCCAGCCTGGACGATGACAGCCTGGGCAGTGCCAATAGCTTGCAGGACCGCAGTTGCGGGGAGGAGTTGCCCTGGGATGAGCTAGACTTGGGCTTGGATGAGGACCTGGAGCCCGAGACTAGCCCCTTGGAGACCTTCCTGGCTTCCCTGTATTTGGAGGACTTTGCCTCCCTCCTGCGGCAGGAGAAGATTGACCTGGAGGCTCTGATGCTGTGCTCTGACCTTGACCTCCGCAGCATCAGCGTGCCCCTGGGGCCTCGGAAGAAGATTCTGGGGGCCGTGAGGAGGCGCAGGCAGGCTCTGGAGCGTCCCCCGGCGCTGGAGGACACAGAATTGTGAGTGCCTGTATGGGGGAGAGGATCTACCTCTTCAATAATGGGAGGAGGCTTAGTATCGTATCGCATAAAAGCCAAAGCCAGCAATCAGCTGCAAGAGCTCCATTATCACCAGCTCAGAAAAAAAAAAAAAAAAAAAAAAAAGAGGAAAGAAAGAAAAGAAAACCAACCTGCCAATTTAATAACTGGAGGCTTTGTTATCATAGTTGACACTCAGTTCTGGGATAACCCAAATGGGGGGAAAAGAGCATTTGAGTGGAATATACTTAGAGTAATCATGGCTAGGATTTTAAGAGCCTTTTAGACAGGGTCTCCTGTGGCCCAAGCTGGCCTTGAACTTGTTGTGTAGCTGAGAATGACCCTGAATTTCTGATCCACCTTCCAAGTGCTGGGGTCTGAACCCAGGACTTCGTGCATGCCAGGCAGGCGCTCTCTACTGACTGAACTATACTCCCGGCCCTAAAGCTGAGGTGTTTTGGAACCCTGCCACTTCCCAGGTCCTTAAGTCAACGCTTTTGTCGAATCCTGAGCTCCATTCCCTGAGCGTGTGCCACAATGAGCTAGTGGACAATCGGGGATTAGAGTGTAGCTCACCCCATGCCTCACGGGTGGTTTCCTGCGGAGATGACCGAGCGTGGGCGGGGTTTGGCTCTGGAGCCTGGGGAGCAGCCAAGTGCTCTGGGACCGAGGCTGTGGTATCAGCGTCTCACCTCAACTGCCCACACCGTCAAAACATATGTGTTTTACCTACTGTCCCCAAGCCCTGCTCCCAACAGGTCCAACAGCAGCCTTGGAGGCACCCTTAGAAAAGTGATTATAGCAGCCCCAACCCTCGCCAGTCTCTCCTGTCCCCTGTAGCATCCCACAAGCTCGCTGCCCTTCCCTTCGATATCTGA